GGCAGTCTATAAAAGAAAGCTTTCTTTGGGGCTTAAAGTTTCGGAGGACTAGGGTCCATGGCCGAGAGCATGGCACTGGCCATTCAGGCATGATGGTGGAGCCATAGCTGAGAATGTACATCTTGAGACCCAACCACCAGGCAGAGAGAGAGAGCTAACTGGGAAAGGCACCCATCATTAGAAACCTCAAAGCTGCCCCCAGGGACACACTTCCTCCAACGTGGCCACACTTCCTAACCCATCAGAAAGAGTAACACCCACGGGAGACCAATTACTCAAACACAGGACTATGAGGCCATTATCATTCAAACCATCACAACAAGGAATTCAAATCTTTTTTTTTTTATCTCCCCCAATTTATAAGACTTCTATACAGATGTTTCATGCTTCCCCAGCTCCCTACCCCTGCAAAAAACCTTTGTTTTTATTCAAAGACTCTGTCTGCTATGTTCTAGGATTAAAGCCATCAACACCTTTTCCCTTTAAATGTTTTAAAACTAACCAGTCTTGAAATAATGTGAGGTCAGATTCCAGCCAAGTGGGGAAGTGACACAGTCACCACCTTCATCAGAATAAAGTCCAAGTTCACCTCCTGTGTGCTTGCTCCTTTGCGAGCTCTTGATCAAGAATGAAATTTTGCCCTGTGGAGGTACTTCGGTTGGAGCAATGGGTTCTTTTCCTGTGACCAAAAACTTACTTCCAAACACCTATCCTCCATAAGAAACGAGATGTTAAAATACTGGTTGTGCTCATATGCTAATGAAATTTCAGTGAAATAAGCCTGTGTGAGAGATTACTATGAACAGTCTAATTGCAGAGACCTTCCTTATTTGAAACATAAAAGTCGGCTGCCTCAACTACCATGTCCCAGATTTTCCTTTTGCTGCTGTAAAAACAAAAAAAGACCATTTAAAACTGTATCCCCCGTTTTCCAAAATCTACAGGTCAAGTCATGACATTTTCTATTCATTTCTGTCTCTGTATTTTATTTTATACAGATGTATAAAATAGTTGAGAAATCCAAACCTTACCCCCTACCCCATGCCCGTCACTTTAAACTCAGAAACACAAAAGTAAAAGGGGCGTTTGTGGCGATTAGAAATTATGACTCCGAACCCACAGGTTCATATGGCTCTGAATTAGTGTTCCCAAGAAGGCAGGGAAGATAACCTGACTCTTGTCTCCATAAGACAAGAGACCCAAAAGCTCTTGGTATACATTTTGAACCTTGAGGCACAACATATTTGTAGTTCTCGGCACTTCAAATATTTGTGACCAGAGGGCTGTGACCGAAGTTCAAAGTCCAATTGTTAACGCAGCAATGGATCAAAAGCCTTGCCTCTGGGAGTTCCAAGAAGCTAGGTTTGGCCAGCTGTCCCCAGCACACCAAGTCAAGAATAGTAATGAAGAAGGGAGATTTAGTCGAAGTGGCTACATTGGAAAAAGGGACCTATAAAGAGGTTCAGCAAATCCCAAACGCATCCCGGTGGTACTAACATGAGCCTCATGGACAAATGGTTGGGCAGGAAGGGAGGAATAATATGCATAGATAAGCATTTTTGATCAAGTGTGGTCTAGCTCATGGTCTCCTTCTGGTTCTGCAAGACAGGATGAGAAGTTCTTCATTCTTAGAAGGGCTTGGTGGGGCTCCCACAAGGTGATTAGTCCAGCTCAGCAGTGCAAACCTCACTATGGTGGTTAACTACCCTTCTTTATGAGGGTAATTTGCTTCATGATGATAGCAATGACCTGGTCATTTTCAACCCTTGTCCTGAACTAGGATATCTTGTGAGGGTAGGACAAATTGCCCTCAAGCTGAAGCGGTGGGGGGGGGGGGGATGAAGGCAGCAATCCATCATAGTGGCTACTACCCATCAATTATGGCGGCTACTGTCCTGGATAGGTGTCCAGTGACTAGGTGACAAGTCAGTATCCCCTAGCAGTCAGTCTTAGGGCGCTCCTTTTATAAGTGAAAGATGGTATCTGGTGTGTTCAGTAAAATCGTGGGTCTGGCTTTTCCGGTATGTGATCATGGGTTCCCAGTGTACTACACACACACAAGGGGTATTTTTTTTTACTTGTATGTTAGCAGCCTGTGCCTCATGATTCATTCTGAATGGTGGTGACTCTCTTTGCACAATCAGGATGCACAGTCACCTTACCTCTGTGTTTGCCTTCAAAGTGAAGAAGCTAAGGCAAGGCGCAGCCCAAAGCCACTGTTCCACACTACGGAACAGCTTAGGCAGTACACTAACTCAGAACAGGGCAAGGCTTGGTCTCGGGACTTGTCTCATTAAGAGAAAAACTGGAATAGGAGGTCTGTATGTAGACTTCGTGTCTCCACTCTTTCATCAATTAAACGCCACAGTTTCACCTATCTTCTTTATCTGTATCTGAAGAAATACAAATGCATACATAAGTGCTGGAAAGTAGTCCCTTCAAAAAGCTTGTTGGAGTTCATCAGACTAGCCACAATTTTTTTCCAAACTAAAAAAGAGAGCAAAGTGTATGTAAATATGAGGTAAATTTTAGAGAGGTAACCAAGATCATTTATACTGGAGGTAAAAAGAAATGAATTCAAACATCAGCTGAAAAGGTGGTTTTTGTATTTCAGCTACATAGTACTATGAATATACACGGCAAAAGAACTTGTAAGTTAGATTGTGGTTGCATTTCAATTTACGTGACTGTTTTTCATTCTGACACTTCTCTTATTGTTATAGAAATTAGCCTGTGTTATGATTATTCCTACATTAAATTCCCCCAACAAGTAAGCTATTTATTTTCATCTTATGCTAAGATGGCTGGTACCACTCTCTTCATTCTCCTTGAAGATTTATTGGACATATTTTATTGTTACTAAGACAGCTGCTCTTAAGTCTATAACTTAAGTCTATAATTTCTATCGGTCTGTGTGTACGGGATGGGTGTGAGTAAAAGAGACAGAAGGAGGCAGACAGACAGATAGACATACAAAGAAAGAACAACTTGCTCCAATTTCAGGTGTATATACAGTTTTGTGTTTGAGGAGAAAAAAAAACTTTAAGAAAAAGGTATTATCAGGCTGGAAAGATCTATCAGTGGTTAAAAACACTGGCTGCTTTTGCAGAGGACCCAGGTTGAGTTCCCAGCCTCCACACGGCAACTCATAACCATCCGTAACTCTAGTTCCAGGGAATAAAATGCAATCTTCTGGCCTCCACAGCCTCCTGCATGCACATGGCTGCAGATAAACTCAGTCACATACACATAATATTCTCTCTCTTTCTCCCTCCCTCCCTCCAGGAAAATATATAAATACTATTTGAGTTTTAATTTAAAAAGATATTAAATTTTATTTATATGCTATTTCTGTTCCTCATCAAATTGCTAGAAACCATTTTAACTTTATTCTAACTTACCATTTAATTTGACATATAGTATTTACTTTTTAAAAAAATCTTATTTTGTATCATTATTATTATTATTTTGAGATCGAGCTCACTATGTACTCCAGGCTTGACTGAAACTCACAGTTTTCCTGCCCCGCTTCCTGAACACCAGAATAATAAACGTACACCACTAAACCTGACCTGTTTCTCCCCTTTGGATAAGGCTAAACACCCTAATTTATAGTCAGTGAAAGGTGTAGTGGTCCACATTACCTGCAAGCAATGTGCAATCTTATAAAAAGTATGCCCTCAAAATGTTTGCCACAGGACTGCTCTATAAGACCACCTTTGGATTCAAGAAACTCAATCTCTTTTCGTAATACCCAACAGGTGTACATTTTATCCTTTGTTTTCCTTTTGCGTGGCCTCATTTTTACACAGAGATTTTAATAGAATGAGTTGTTCTCCTATCGTTTTAACTCCAGAATCTGGGATCTGCATCAATAAGCTTCTAATCAGCCTTTAAGAGGAAGGAACTTCAACTGAAAGCAATTTATGGGATCTGAATTTATTTTATTTTCTTCTTTAATAATAAAAATTACATTCTTGTAATGAACACACAAATAAAAACACCACACAGCTAGATTAGGGTAGCCACCCAGACACTGAATTTCCTGATACTAAGGCAACATTGAATGTCATGGTCAAATACTCAAGTGGTTGAGAAGGGGTAAAATCTACCTTTTTCACTCACCTACCCTCTATTTCACAAAAGTTCCTAGTCCTATTACAAACTAAGTTGGCCTGCTAGTGTTCTGATTAAGGGTGTTACGGATATTTTTCAAGTACTGCCAAAGAAAATAACACAGATGAAAACGGGGAAAGAGAACGGAGGAAAAGGGAGGAAGAAGAAATAAAGAGAAGTAGAGAAGTATCGTAGCAATCTAGAAACAAAGCTGCGCTATGTCATTCTATTAGCTACATGTAAAGTAGTAAGTGACTGATACGTATTGCCAACATTCAAGAGGCAAAACCAGACACGGGGGAAGATGAATAATAGGCACATCTCTGTCTTTTTGCAAAGTGGGTTGGGATACTGGACATACCTATTCTATACAGGATTCTATTAAAGTAATCACTAAATAGAGAGGAAGTAAAAATAAAATGGAACACCTAAACAAAAATCATACTGGAATACCTGAAGATGCTTCCTTATTTATGAGGAGTCCCAGAAAGAAAAGCTGAGGGGTTTTCAGGTCCAACAAAGATGACTTACAGTTCTGAGAAAGCATTAGCTGATTATCTGCTCCCGCCATACTGAAGTAGAGCTGGCGTTCTCATCAATGAACTGCAGGAGCACGCTTTGGTCCTTTCCAGTGAGCAAATGCAGTGTGATGTCGGATGAAGTCTACTGCCAACCCAACAAGGAGTGTGAGGACTCATTTTCTGCACCTGAATAACATTCCCAGGTCTTATGTCACCGGAGGGGAAATCACGATGGCTTTGTCTGTTCTGTTTGTGTTGTAAGAGGTCACCACGCTTCTGAAAAGATGTCATTTTTTTGTAATTAAGGTGAGTGATTAGAAAAGACCAATGATGGGAACTCTTGTCTTGCTGTCATTTCCCCAGGAAACTCATCGAGACTCACCTGAAGACCATTCCAAGCCTTGCATTTTCAAATCTGCCCAATATTTCCAGGATGTAAGTAATTATTTTAACGTACAGAGAGCTTTGCAGTTGTGACATATTGTTCTCTAAATGTGTTCTGTCACAAAAAGCAATTGCTACTATACTTGCATAAGTCAATGACATCTGCATTTTTAATGTATTGAAATTTTTTGTTTATATAGAACTTACTTGCTTAGTTGCAGCTCTTTTTTTCTGATCCCTATAGGACCTTTTAAATCTAATGCAAAATCAATTTCATTTTGTCATGTCAAGTTCACCTTTTTTATGGTTTTTTGTCACATCTTAGGATGTGACAAAATCTTAGCTGAGAAGCCCTAGACATTATGTTCCCCCTCTTAGCTATCCATTCTAGAGTTTTGAGTCACTTTCACCAGTAATATAATGCAAACACCTACATTTTGTCACAAATGCAGCCAATCATTTCAGATTTCACTCACTAAAAAAAATTAATTAAAAAAAAAACAATTTTAAGCCTTAAAACACAGATGCAGTATGCAGACAGATGAAAATAGGAACTTGCACATTAGGCTGACAGTCATTGTCTGTGTCTAGATTTATACCCATTAGTGATGAACTCCAATTAATCACCAATAATGCAGCTGTGTCCTTCCAAGGAAATAAATGAAAACGCTTCCTCCTCAGCATCATTTAACCAAGAGCAAGTCCAGATTTGAGTTTTCTACTTTACACTTCTTGTGTCTTCCATCCTCTGTCTATCTGTTGTTTGAGTGTGAATCTCTGACTGCTTGAAGGTTGTCTTGTGTCTTTGTCCTCCATCTGTGTGTGTGTGTGTGTGTGTGTGTTCTGTTGTGTGGCTGTATCTGTCTGTAGCTGTGTGTATCTCTCTCCTCTCACAGTTTTTCTCTGTATGTATTGAACAGTGTAGAAATCATCACATGGGTAAGGAATGAGACACTTTACAGAAATCTTTGAGTTTTGTGAGGATCGAATCACCAGCTCCCACTGATCCCAGTTGACCCAGACAACAAAGAGTTCTACCAAAATCATTGTTTATCAACCAATATCCATAAATGAATGCTTTTTAACTTTTATGGTAGGTTTTAGGAAGTTGCTTTCAGCAAATGACACACATGTATCCTGGGTTGGGACATAACTTAAGATTAGTCTTATGTATTAGCTTGGGTTGCAAAAGCTGACCACATGGGAAATCCAAGGCAAGGTAATGTTGATTGTTACTTTGTTTTCCTAAAAGCAGGTTAAACAGGCTGAGTACACAGTAAGGGTAGCAGTGACCTCAAGGAATATTATCATCTTTGACTGTGAGGCCCAGCAAAAACTTTAGTGTCTTAGAATGTAAGAGGTGTTCTGGGAATTTTGCATTACCATAGTCCACACATGAAATGAATGAGGTGTTTGTTTCATATAGTGGCAGGTTAACTTGGGCACAGCCAACAATACCAGAGGCAACCTGTAGCTCCTGGTTAAATTCATTCAGTATATGGCCATGTGTTGAACATCTGTTGCATCATTTCAATGACTCTCAACAAGAATCAGCTCTGACATTTGATTGTCAAGACGGCAGAGGAGAATGCTACTGACCTCTAGAGGGTGGAGGTGAAGGATGTGGGAGGCATCCTTCCCTGCATGGTGCGGTCACACAGTAAAGAGTTTTCTTGTACAAAATAAAACAAGACTGAGGGGTAGGTCAGGTGTTAAGAGCAGCTGCTGTTGTTACAAAGGACCCAGGTTTGGTTCCAAGCATTCGCATGGCATTTTGCAACTGTCTGTACAGCTGTATGGTATTGGATAAGCTCTTCTGGCCTCTGTGGGAGAATGGCACCTATATTATATGAGCGAACATCATAGACACAAGGTAAAAATAAATATTTTAAAATATTTTTAAACCAAAACAATATGATAATCCTTTATTTCTTTTTCTCTTTCTCCCTTCCTTCCTTCCTTGCTTCCTTCCTTCCTTCCTTCCTTCCTTCCTTCTTACATCCTGATGGTAGCCCTCTCCCTTCTTTCCTTCCAGGCCCCCCTCCCTCCGTTTCTGCCATCCTCCCTCCCTATTCTTCAGTTAAGGGGAACCAACCCAATTCACCCATACCAGCTCATTAAGTTGCATCAGGACTGAGCTCATCTTTCTTCCCCTGTGGCCTGGGGAGGCCACCCCAACAGGGATGTTCAGAAACCAGGCATAAGAGTCCATGTCATAGACATCCCTTGCTCCCTTTACTAGGTAACCCACATAAAGTCTGAGCTGCCCATCTGCTACATTAGGAGGCCTAGGTCCCCTACATAGTCCATGCATAGTCCTTGGTTGGTGCTTCAGTCTCGTTTTGTTCCCTCTCTTCAGCACTTCCAATGTCTATTCTATTTCCCCTTCTGAGTTTGATTTGAACATCCTCCCTTGAGTCCTCCTTGTTACTTATCTTCTTTGGGTCTGTGAATTGTAGTATGTCTATCCTGTGCTATTATGGCTAAAATTGTCTTATAAGTGAGTACTATGTGTGTCTTTCTGATGGTAACCCTTTCTTATCCCTCTCCTTTTCTCCTCCTTTGGAGGTCTTGATAACCTCCTACAATTAACATGCAATTAGAACGTCACTCCAAATGTTGCTACTCTGATGTCCCACAGTACCTCAAGCTCATTCTATCCAAACTAAGCACGCTGCCATATCCATTTCTTCACCCTTTAGTAACACTGCCATTCAGCATCTTGTGAGCCACAAACCTCAAATTCACCTTTAGTTTTTCATTTGCCCTGATGTTCCTAAAACAGCTGTGTATTGTCTGGTGTCCTGTTCACACCTTCACACATGTTTATGGAGCCCTACTCTTGCCTCACACTGTACAGAATGCTCTGAAACAGCAGTAGGCAATATTCACAGAATCTTTGCTTTCATTCCCATTAAAGTGGTAAGAACCACGATGGGGCCAGTTACTGAAAACTGTCAAGAACTCACACAAGAGACATATTACTGAGTAGGAGGCAGAAGGGACTGAGGAAAGCTAGAAGAATAGTGTCTCACTTATAAGCCATACTAGCTAGCCAACAGTCATATTGAAATAGGGAAAGTCATTATTATACAGGGGAACACCTGAGCCTTTTGAGGAATTAAAATAAGTTTATTAGAAATGGAATTTAGACTGTGAAGAGATCAAATAAATAAATTAAAAAATAGAAATGGTTAAAAAAAAGAAAAGAAATAAAACCAGAAATGGGCAAGAACAGGATGCTACAAGTTGTATGAAGGAATGTCAAGTGGTCTATAGAACTAAGCCGTTGGATGATTTTAAGCAGGCAAGCAAAATGCTCAAGTGTTTGCTTCCAAAATCTCACAGTTGTGCTGTGAACAAGGGACAAGATGCAAACAGGAAGCTACTGAAGAGACTGATGTAGTATTCTGGGAAAAGGGGGAGAAAAATTGAGTAACAGTGATTGATTGGAATTTTTTTAAGGTACAAAGATTTGATAAATAAATAAGGGAGAGTTTATAAACATAAAAGAGATTGATTTAGAAGTGAGGGAAATAAGGAAGGATTGTATCCGATTTCTGAATGGGAGATCTGTGTGCTTAATGAGCATATTCATTGAGATAGAAAAGAAAAATGTTATTTTCAGTGCAGGGTAAATGGTAAGTTAGGAATTTCATTTGGGGTATGCGGTATTTGAGGTGTGTGATGTTCTGTAGACACATGACAGAGACATAATTTTTCATTTAGCCAACAAATATTTATTCCACTTTGGCTATGTTCTAATATTATTTTCAACTGGAAGAAAATAGATGCTGAGCCAAAACATAATTAAATTATATATTTATTCAGGTAGAAAGAACACATATGAAAAGGGGAAATTTTAAGGTATGTGCAGGCTCAGTGGAGTGAGTTGATCAGAGACTGAGATTTGGGGGGGAGTCATAGAAACCATCTCAAGTACAAGGGGAAGACTGTAGAGAGGGAGACACTAAAGGGTGAAACAAAAGTGACCTTGCAAGCTTGTAGTCCTGAAGAGGTAGAAGAGGATTGCGTCCAAGCCCAACAACATGATATAAGAAAACAGTCACTTTCTCCACAGTCACAAGAAAGTTATTGGTGGGCAATGCAAGGCATTCCTATCTCCAGTTTCAGCCTTTCCTACACGATATAAAAAGTTTGTCTGCTAGGACTGGTACTGAACAGCCAGAATCAGAAATATTATATGCTAAAGTATAGGCAATAAGGGGAGGCTTGACAGAGAAATGCTCGGGAAGATGTGAAGATTTCGTGGAGGCACTCACCAGGAAGGCAGCACTGGGTTGGCCAGTCTAGATATCTCCTGCACCTTTCAGTGTACTTAATACTTGGTGTTTATATCGATACCTGCTGGATGCATATACATCCATCGATAAGAGTTAAAGATATCGTATATCCTAGGGGTAGCAAGTGGAGATCACCATGATGCTCCTAGGATTGCCTGGTAAAATAAAAACTCCCACCAGTTATTCTGGGAATTGTCTCACAGAAGAAAAGTACCCTGGTTTGTAGAATAGATTGTATGGTCATCATAGTAATTGCATAACATTTACATGTGATAAAGAGATGATGTCATATTTTTTCTTAAATAAAAGTAGGATGAAATAAACAGTCATTACTTCAATCCCAGTAAATAAATGGTTCCTATATTTAAGCTATAACAAGCCATGAGGTCTGGTGAGGTGGTCAGAATGAAGGTCCTCTCTGAGAATTCAATAGAAAATGTGGGGCAAAAGCCATGAGGCAAACATTGGAAAGTAGGTTGTCACCTTCAGAAGGAATCTTGCTCTACTCTCACCCATGAAAAATCCTCTAAGGTCCCTTAACAGTAAATTGATCCTGTGAAATGTTTCCTGAGATAGTGTTTGTATCAAAATCATTTACATGTTGTTGCTTAGCCACAAAGGACAAAGGGCTAGGAAACCTGATAAATCAAAGGCTGTTTATTTATAAATACTTCCAAACAAACAGCACAGGGGCACAGGAATAGTAACAAACAGCCTTGCTAAAAAGGACACCCAGAGTCTAACAATTACTGCTCCTTTTACAAAGAATGTCATTCAATTATAATTACCAAGGAAGCTCTTGAAAAATGTAAGTGCTTGGCTCAGCCCTCATAACCATGAGTCAACAGTCTTGAACATCTGTGTGTCCACACTGTTCAGTTCGATGTTCAGGGCTGAGAATCTCTGGTAGGGGCTACATTCATCATTCATTTCCCCAAATGTCACAGAAGTGCCTCTCAGTAGAAGATGGTCATTTAATCTGTGAGTATTATTCTCAATGTAAGAAAGACTTTGACAAAACCACCTGAAACATTGCCATCTATATTCAGGTTCACAGCTGCTCATTTAAAGGGGCATCTTTTCCTCTCTGTTGGTACCTAAAACTTTTATTTGCATGATATTTTGCTTAAAATTTTTAAGAGAAATCCTGACTTTTTCATTTCATTCAAAAAAAAAAAAAAAAAAAGACTGGTCTTAAGAGAGAATGCAGTCTGCATGGATTAAATGCATTAGTGATTCACTCTGAGTTACCAATAATGCATTGTGTCCCGTTGAGGAAAGAAACAAAGCACCCCCCCCAGAGCCAATTAATCAAGAGTGGGCCCAGATTTGGATTCTCTACTTCGTGCTCTCTGTGTCTTTTGTTCTTTGTATGTTGTGGGAGTCTTAATCTGTGCCTCCCTGAGCACTATCTGGTGAATCTGTTCCTGTCTCTGTCCCGATATCTGTCTGTCTCGTCTGTTTCTCTCCGTCTCTCTGTGTGCGAGTATTTGTCTATTGCATGTCTGTCTTTCATAAAAGGCTTCACTCTTTTTATTGAACAGCACAGAAAGCATCACATGGGGGAAAGAATGGGAGACTTTACAAAAATCGTTAGCAGAGTTTTGCAAGGTATTAAGTCACGGGCTCCCAATTGATTCAAATAACAAACAATATTCATAAATGGATGCTTTCAGCCTTTATTGTTTTAGAAAGTTCTTTCAACTGCTGCATTTTCTGCTTTCAACAAATGATAGATGTGCATTGGTATGGGACAGGGGTATGGAAGAGTATGTAATTTAAGGTTACAGCTAAACATTAGCTCAGGTTGTAAAAGCTGATTACACAGGAAATCCAAGGCAAGTAAAGTTGGTTGTTACATTGTTCTTTTAAAAGCAGGTTAAACAAACAGGCTGAATACTCAGTAGGCTAGCAGTCTTAAGTGATTTCAGGGTGTATTGTTAACTGGCTGTGAGTCCAGCAAAAGGTCCAGTCTTTTAGGATGTAAGAGGTATATTCAGAATAATTCATCATCACAGCAGTCAAAACCCTCTGGAGTACTCCACTAAAGAAATGAAATCTTTCTCTTCAACTTTTTGGAAATTACATTTCTTTTCACATGCTACTAGGCCTTCTATTTAAAATGTTTCTTATTCACTCTAATGTTCTTTTCTGATGCTTTCTAGTTTTGTTATTTTAAGTAATGCACCTATTCATCTATTCATTTATGCATTCACTTACCATGTATTTCCTGAGTCTGCTTAATGTTAAGAATTTTAAAGGTACTCATAATTCAATGGTCAAAAACAGACACAACATTCCACATTAGATAACTTACAGTCTATTGACATGGCATAAATCAAATGCTACACAAATAATTAGAAAAGCACACTGTGACTATGCATGAAAGAAAGATTCATAGTGCTTTGAAGATGTACCATTTGACTTTTAACCTTTTCTGGAAACTGACATTTGAGCCCCAAAGAGTCTCATAAAGTATTGGGAATTTTCAGGCCTACTGGATCAAAGAAAAAAATGTAGTTAAGGACTAGTTTGTGTATGTTCCGTGACTTGGAAAAGCGCTAGCAAAGAAGCTATACAACAAAAAGTATGTTTGAAAGCCAGAACTATGGAGGTAGAAGCAGATGAATATCTGCGGAGAGCTGGCCAGCCAGCCTAGTCTACTTAGGTGTCCCAAGCTAATGAGAGGCCTTGTCTGTAAAAACAATGTGGATGGCATCTGAGTTATGACAGCCAAAGTCTCCTCTAGCCTACACACACACACATACACACATATACTCATATGGATACACACGAACACACATATATGTACATAAAATAGTATGCATATATCACAGATACTTGCATGTCAATATTTATTGTGGTACTTTTCATACTAGTGAAATTATGGAACCAATCTAGGTGTCCCTTAATAGGAATGGATAAGAAAATATGGTCTACAGAACAATAGAATTTTTTTTTCCCATAAAGAAAAATGAGGCTGGTCTCAGAAAGATACATATTGCAAGTGTTATCTCATTTTTGGGTTCTAGACTTTATAGATGCTTAAAGTTGCATGTACATAGATGACGGGACAGTAGAAGTGATACTGTCAAGGGGAACAAAGAGGACTAGTGGGGAAGGGGAAGCAAGAAAAGAGAGAGCGGGGGAAGGGCTGTGCACAAACCAGTGTGGTGAATAAAATAGGAAGTTTGGAGTTGACTGCTAATCTTCCGCTTTGTCTTATTTTTTTTGCAATGTTCAGCTATTTGTCAATAGATGCAACTCTGCAGCGGCTGGAACCACATTCTTTCTACAATTTGAGTAAAATGACTCACATGTAAGTACAAGGGGAGGTACAGAATAAACCCAAACAACAGCCGCCGTTTAAAATATTGTTACATGTATTTTTTGTGGGGTGGGGTGGGGTGTGCACAGTATGTATTTGTACGTCAGGAGACAACTTTCAGGAGTCAGGTGTTTCCTTCCACCGACCGGGTAGGTTTGGGGATTGAACTCAGGTCATCAGACTTGGTAGTAAGTGCTGTTCAAGGCTGAGCCATCTTACCAAACCCACAAAGAACATCTTTGAGAATCTGTCAGCATTAGACTCAAGGTGAAAGAACTGCTAAAGGGAATGAGTAAGAAAAAGAAAGATGACCCCCACCCGGCCATACATTCTGTACAGAAGAAGAATGAACAGTAGCAGAGGAGGTGAATGCGTAGGTAAATATACGAAGGTGTTGACTTACAAAAACAAAACAAAACAACAACAACAAAAAAAAA